AGGAGAGGTGAGGAGTGTCCGCCGGGACGCCCTCGGAACAGGAGAGGTGAAGAGCGTCTGCCGGGACCCCCTCGGAACAGGAGAGGTGAAGAGCGTCCGCCGGGACCCCCTCGGAACAGGAGAGGTGAGGAGCGTCCGCCGGGACCCCCTCAGAACAGGAGAGGTGAGGAGCGTCTGCCGGGACCCCCTCGGAACAGGAGAAGTGAGGAGCGTCCGCCGGGACCCCCTCGGAGCACAAGAAGTGTGGGGCGTCTGCCGGGACCCCCTCGAAGCAGGAGTGGTGAAGAGCGTCCGTCACGACCCCCTCGGAGCAGGAGATGTGTGAGATCCACCACGGGGGCTGCGTGCAGCATGGGATCCACCTAGGGGGCTGCGTGCAGCGTGGGATCCACCTCGGGGGCTGCGTGCAACGTGGGATCCACCTCGGGGGCTGCATGCAGCAACAGGATCTGGAGTAGACGTGTCTGGGTCTGTGGGCTCAGGACAAGTTGGGTCCTCACACAGCATGGATGATGCAGAGGCTGCCGGAGATGGAAAAACTATGGAAACTGTAGTAGGCATGGGAGCGACCACAGGGACTGCAGCTGTGAGGACCTCAGGAGCAGGAACCGAGGAAGCACAGGGGGTGTAGCTAGAGGCTCAGAGTCTCTAAAAGTACCCCGCAGCTTGTCTTCCAGGGACAGAGCAGTGAGAGTCAGGCTGCCTACTGGGTCTTGGTTTGGTCTGGACATTCTGTGATGATTTCTAGGCAGGAGACCCATTTGGTCCAGGCAGGCAGGCAAGACTCAAGGAATATAAATAAATATTTTATTCTTTATAAAATAAAGATGGCTGACAGGGCAGCAAACTTACATGAATCATGGGACAAGACACAGGATATGAGGAGCAGGATATGAGGAGCAGGACACAAGGAGCATAACAGGCATCACAGTGAGACAATGACCAGACATTGAGGGATGCAGGCAAACAGATTAAATACACACACCAACGAGACTAACACAGAACACCTGTGAAACATCACAGATGCAGACATCAGAGGGGGAGCAGGCAAATATACAACACTAGAGGGAGACAGAGAAAGGGGAAAGCACAACTCCTACACCACTCTAAGCAGTAGAACCATACTGTGTCAACTCTTAAAACTGTGCTTGTAGTAAACCTACTTCACATATGGGGAGCAATATTATAGCCAGAAACATGGGTGTGCTAAGGGGTCTCCAGTTTCTCCTATTGTTGCTAACCTGTACATGGAGGAGGTAGAAAAGAAAGCCTTGATGTCCTTTTCAGGGACACCACCAAGTCATTGGTTCAGGTATGTTGATGACACCTGGGTTAAAATTAAATCTCAGGAAGTCCAACATTTTACTGACCACATCAACTCTGTGGATAAATACATCAAGTTCACACGAGAAGATGTAAAAAATGGCAGGTTGGCTTTCTTGGACTGTGAGGTAGTCTCTGATAGAGGACATCTGCAAACTGAGGTGTACTGCAAACCCACCCACACAGACCAGTATTTGCAGTTTGACTCCCATCACCCTTTGAAGCACAAGTTAGGAGTCATCAGGACTCTGTATCACAGAGCAGACAGCATCCCCACTAGCTCGGGAGCCAGGCAGAAGGAGAAATCCTACACAAAACAGGCTCTAGAGCAATGTGGATATCCTAACTGGGCCTTCCTGAAAGCAGAGAAGAAACCCAAACAGGACTCCAGTCAGCCATCAGGTGAAAAGGAGGAACCCAGACCCAGACCAGTGGTCATTCCATATGTTGAGGGAGTATCGGAGAAACTGAGACGTTTATTTTTTAAACATAGCGTCCCAGTGGCTTTTAAACCCCAAAATACATTACGGCAAAGACTGGTTCAAGTCCCCTGGCACAAACAGAGTAATATTGTGTATGCTGTTCAGTGTCAGGAGGGTGATCAGTCTTACATCGGGGAAACTAAACAGCCACTGGCCAAAAGGATGGCCCAGCACAGAAGATCAACATCATCAGGCCAGGACTCTGCGGTCTACACTCATCTCCAGGCCAGCGGTCACTCTTTCAGGGATGAAGATGTGCACATGCTGGATAGAGAGGAGCGATGGTTTGAGAGAGGAATAAAGGAGGCCATCTTTGTGAAAAGAAACCGTCCATCATTAAACAGGGGTGGAGGCCTACATGTTCAATTGTCCCCCTCTTACAATGCTGTGATTGCTAGTATCACTCAGCCCTCTGTGAATAGTACACAGCCATCAGTGTGCTAATGATCCATTGTTAGGCTGATGGTCCTTCTTGAGCATGTGATCAGCTGGTTTTGGTTGTCAGCAGCAAAACTGATTGATCCACTCTGAGAAGGTGCTATTTAAGAGACTGAGCTGAAAACAGCACCTCAGACTGAAGAAGTCTCTCGGACGAGAGACGAAACGTTTCTATATTTTTTGTTGTTTTGCTTTGTTTTGGGTTTTTTTGAATGTCCAGAGGACCAGATTTAACTTTTTTAGATTTTTCTACCTGGATTATTGAGCATGCATCAGGATATAACTCATGTAAGCATGACTCAAGTAAACATAGTTCATGTAAACATAATTCATGTAAACATAACTCATGTAAACATGACCCATGTAAACATAACTCATTTAAGCATCACTCAGGTAAACATAACTCATGTAAGCATGACTCAGGTAAACATGACTCGAGTAAACATGACTCAGGTAAACATGACATGGGTAAACATGAATCACATAAACCTGACTCATGTAAAAATAACTCATGTAAACATAACTCAGGTAAGCATGACTCAGGTAAACATAACTCATGTCAATATGACTCAGGTAAACACAATTCATGTAATCATGACAAATATAAACATCTCAGGTAAACATGACTCATGTAAAAATGACTCGGGTAAACATGAATCAAATAAAAGTGACTCATGTAAACATAACTCATGTAAACATAACTCACGTAAACATAACTCATGTAAGCATGACTCAGGTAAACAGTTCATGTAAGTGAACGTGAGTCAAGTGGGAGTGGTGGCGCAGAGGTTAGAGAGGTGGGCTTGTGATCCGAAGATCGCCGGTTCACGCCCCGGCCCCGACAACATCAAAATTGTGGGTGGGGTAGGTGAAACACCCACACTTGCCCCCACCCTCATTCGCCCCACTTTGGGCCCATGAGCAAGGCCCTTAATCCCCACCATCTGCTCCCTAAAACAGGTCTCTCTTGAAAATGAGTTCTCGTGGCTCAATGAGACTAACCTGGATAAATAAAGGCTAAATAAATAAATAAATAAAAACAGTTCATGTAAACATAACTCATATAAACATGACCCATGTAAACGTCTCAGGGAAACATAACTCATGAAAGCATGATTCAGGTAAACATAACTCATGTAAGTATGACTCAGGTAAACATAGTTCATGTAAACATAACTCATGTGAAGATAACTCATGTAAACTTGACCCATGTAAACGGCTCAGGTAAACATCCATCCATTATCTTTACCCGCTTGTTCCATTTTGGGTCACAGGGGTCGCCAGTGCCCATCCATCCATCCATCCATTTTCTTTACCCGTTTATTCCATTTTGGGTCACGGGGGTCGCCAGTGCCCATGTCCAGCAATCACTGTGCGAGGGGCGGGGTACACCCTGGACGGGTCGCAAGTCCATCACAGGGACACATAGAGACAAACGAGACAAACAACCATTCACTCTCTCTCTCTCTCATCTAGGGACAATTTAGAGTTACCAGTCAGCCTAACATGCATGTTTTTGGTCTGTGGGAGGAAACCGGACTACCCGGAGAAAACTCACGCATGCACGAAGAGAACATGCAAACTCCACCCAGAAAGGCCCCTGTACCGGGGTTTGAACCAAGGACCTGCTCAGTGAGAGGCATCAGCTCTACCAGTTGTGCCACCGTGCTGCCCTCAGGTAAACATGACTCATATAACATTACTTATGTAAACAGGACCCATGTAAACATGACCCATGTGAACATGGTCTCATGTAAACATGACTCGTAAAAATAACTCGGGAAACATGACTCATGTAAAAATGACTCTGTTAAACATGAATCATATAAACCTAACTCATGTAAACATAACTTACGTGAACATAACTCATGTAAACATGACTCATGTAAACATGACCCATGTAAATGTCTCAGGGAAACACGACTCAAGAAAGCATGACTCAGGTAAACATAACTCATGTAAGCATGACTCATGTAAACATGACCCATGTAAGCATCTCAGGTAAGCACGACTCGTGTAAAAATGACTCTGTTAAACATGAATCATATAAACCTGACTCATGTAAACATAACTTACGTGAACATAACTCATGTAAACATGACTCATGTAAACATGACCCATGTAAATGTCTCAGGGAAACACAACTCAAGAAAGCATGACTCAGGTAAACATAACTCATGTAAGCATGACATGTAAACATGACCCATGTAAACATCTCAGGTAAACATGACTCATGTAAAAATTACTCGGGTAAACATGACTCATGTAAACATCTCAGGTAAACATGACTCATGTAAAAATAACTTGGGTAAACATGACTCAGGTAAACATGACTCATGTAAAAATTACTCTGGTAAACATGACTAATGTAAAAATGACTCGGGTAAACATGAATCATATAAACTTGACTCGTGTAAACATAACTCATGTAAACATGACTCAGGTAAACATGACCCATGTAAACATCTTAGGTAAACATAATTCATGTAAGCATGACTCAGGTAACATAACTCATGTAAACATAATTCATTTAAACTTGACTCAGGTAAACATAACTCATGTAAACATAACTCATGTAAACATGACCCATGTAAACGTCTCAGGTAAACCTGACTCACGTAAACATAACTCGCGTAAACATAACTCATGTAAGCATGACTCATGTACGGTATTCTCTTTTTTTAATTATTTGTCAGATGATGTTTCCAACATTTGACCCAAATATCTTCAACCTTTTCTTTGACCTGTCCTGCTCACCTGTTTTTGAGGCGTGGTCCTCCATCTTGGTTGGTCGGGTTTCTCCTAAACTCTTGAATTGTACCAGAACCGTTCCTCTGTGAGCTGAGTCGGTTCTGAGGCTCTGAACTCTGCAGAACAAACACCTCCTGATCCACTTGATCCAACTCCCGGCACCTCTCCGCTCCGGATTTACGGCTCTGACGTCACAGCGACGGACAGCAACTCTCCCACCTCACGGTACCGATTCCCGCCCCCCCCTACCCCCCACCCGTCCTTTTCTCACTCAGAGGCACAATCAGAACCAGCCGAGCCCACTGTCCGCTGCTCCTTGGTGCTTCGGTTCTGTCTCTGTGCAAGCTTCAGATGCGCGACGCGCATCCGCCTCCATCACCTGGTGACAAAGGCTTAGCGCGTGCACGCACTGCTGTGAAGCAGTCAGTAGACAATGGAACCGAACCGAAAAGAGCTCACAGTGATCTGAGGTTCCTTAGAGCCCCAAATCCGAACCTCCTGACGGATCCTCTCCTCCTCCTCCGCTTCGTCTCACTCCGTCAGTTCATGGCGCTCCTGCCTGGATGAGACACTGAGCAGGAGGACCAGTCCAGTTCACGCGCTCCCGTCCTTCCTCCCTCCCTCAGGGCGGCAGCTGATTGGTTCAGACAAACACACACATCTGGATGGACCTGCGCAGCTGGAGCGAGTCACGCGCAGACGTGACCGTGGAGGTGCGTCACAGCTCTGAACCGAACCAGAAGCAGCTGAGTTTCACATGATGAAGAACCTTTCTATAAATATTTGTTTGTGTCGCTCTGCAGTTTGTTCTTGTTTATTTCAGAACCGTCACGGTCCTGCAGGTGCTCCGTGGTTCTGTCGCCCCCCTGTGGTCGTGGAGTGTAAAGAATACCATGCCAATTGCATTTTTTTTTTTTTTTTTACTTTATTGGCAACATAACAGAACAAAGGAACACAAGAACAAAATAACAAATGACAATATCCTGATGCATGCTCAATAATCCAGGTAGAAAAATCTAAAAAAGTTAAATCTGGTCCTCTGGACCTTGTTTTGTTTTTTTGAATGTCCAGAGGACCAGATTTAACTTTTTTAGAACAAATGACAATCTCAAATTACAACATGATACATATAAACATGTAAAAATAAATCCTCTGTCATATCTCCTAAGGTCACATATGCATAAACAAATTAACAATATTCAGCATAAGTTAAAGTTTAAGTAAGATTATTAGTGTCAGAGAATTGTCAAATAATATGATAAAAGTAAAATCAAAACACAGAACTATTTATCTAACATGCTACATAATTACTCAGATAATTTGTCAGAGGGCTAAATTATCTGAGCGAGGTGATCAGAGCTTTTATTCTTGTGGTTTTTCAGCACTATCTAATGAAAGTTTTAACATCTGGACTTCTTGTATGAATACAGACCATAATGGCTTACACTTGCCATATCTGCATTTATGTGTATAGAATTTTAAGATTATGATAATGCTGTATTAATCTTTTTTTATTTTCAGAAACATATCATATAAGACATTCTGAGAGGAGAAGGGGTCTGTTCATGGATTTTATGGCCAGAAGATTGTGAAGGGATTTCCATAACGTGTTTACAGGATCATAGAAATAAAACGGATGTTCTGTTGTGTCAGGTTTCTTACATATTTAACTGTAATCACATTCAATTTTAAATCTATTTCTGATAAACTCATTTGAAGGATAAATATTATTTAGAGTTTTGAAATGTAATTCTTTATATTTAGATGGAAGAGGGAAACCCAGATATTTTGTCATTATTTTTATTCTTTCCTTCTTATTGTAAAACTCATTCAACTTTCTTCTTACCAGACCAGTGTATATTTGTTTTTTTAATTAAATGTTGTCTTAAAAAATTGTTGTTACATTTATTGTGTATTAAATTTAGTCCATTGAGATTGCCCCCACCCTCATTCGCCCCACTCTGGACCCATGAGCAAGGCCCTTAACCCCCCATGTGCTCCCTAAACAGGTCTCTCTTGAAAATGAGTTCTCGTGGCTCAATGAGACTACCTGTATAAATAAAGGCTAAATGAAAAAAAAGATTGATGCTCAGTAAATTAATTATTTGTTTACTTTCATAATTTTTTTTTATCAACTGAAAAAATGTAAGTGGTATATTTTTATTACTTTGTCATAGTCTCTTTTGGTACAGATAAGATTATATTTTTTAATGAATTCTTCATATTCATATAGATTTCCCTCTTCATCCATTAGATGAGTGAGTGACCATATTTGCTTCTCAATCTATGTTTCCAATGAACACAGACTTCCTTCTGTGTAGAACAACTATGTTGTTCCAAAAAGGAACATTGTGTGAACTGAGTTATATTTGTATGCTATTTTCCAGTTTAAAAACACCTGTTGGTGAAAAGCAGATCATTTCATTTAGGAATGTCAAAGTCAAAGTTTCTTTATTTGTCATTTGCACCACGTGGTGGAATGAAGTTTTGTACACGGGGTCCCAGTTACATCGAACAATAAAATGTAAAAGAAAAACAGCAATAAGATCTAAGATATAAACTAAGAAAAACATCAACTAAATATACACTAAACACTAATAGCATAAAAACAATACACCGAACAGCAGCACGAACATGAGTCTGTGTGAGCAGATGAGCACGAATGAACAAAGCAACATGAAACAGATCAGCAGCAACATTGAAACAGATCAGCAGCAACATGATGTGATTTTTCACAGTGATTCTCCTGGTTAGAGATTCCTGAGTCTAACAACCTCAGGGTAGAAGCTGTTCCTCAGTCTAGTGGTTCTACACTTAATGCTCCTCAACCTCCTTCCTGAGGGGAGTGGGGCAAAAAGTGTGTGTGTTGGGTGAGTGTGGTCCTTCATGATGCAGGTGGTCCTCTTCCTGCATCTAGAGGTGTAGATGTCTGTGATGGTGGGGAGGCTGATTCCGACAGATTTCTGTGCAGCCTTCACCACTCTCTGCAAAGCTTTTCTTTCTGCAGCTGTGCAGCCTCCATGCCACACGTTGATGCTGGAGCACAGGATGCTCTCCACTGCACACCTGTAGAAGGAGGTGAGGACTGAGCTTCCAGACCAGCTCGTCTCAGCCGCTTGAGGAAGTAGAGTCTCTGAGGAGCTTTCTTCATCAGGCTGGTGGTGTTGTTGCTCCAGCTGAGGTTGTTGTTCAGGTGTACACCCAAGTACTTGTAGATGGAGACCACTTCCACCGCAGATCCAACATAGGATCATATGTTCGGGGGCGTGTAGGTGTTTTTGTTCCTTCTGAAGTCCACAATCATCTCCTTTGTCTTCTTCACATTGATGTGAAGGTTGTTCTTCCTGCACCAGCTCTCCAGGTGTTCCACCTCTTGCCTGTAGCTGAACTCATCATTGTTTGTGATGCATCCCACCACCACTGTATCATCTGCAAACTTTACAATGTGACAGCCTGGATGGGTAGATGCACAATCATACATGAGCAGAGTAAACAGGAGGGGGCTCAACACACAGCCCGGAGGGGAGCCAGTGCTCACATCTTAACAGGAAGTCAATACTTTCAACTTAACTAAAAACCAAGGTGGGGACAGCAAAACAAATCTCATGACCATTTTAAAGAAATGATTGAAGCCATTTAAGTTTTAAAACAATTATATCAAAATATGTTGCTTTAATTCCACCATATTCATAATTTTTAAATGTATCTCCATTTTTGATATAATGATGTGTATTTCTCCAAATTAAGTTAAAGTTTGATTTGTTAATTTCCTTAATTATGTTTGGAGGTATAGATATGAAGGAAGCTGGCTAAATAAGTCTTGATAGAGTCTCCATTTTGGTTAGTGGTGTCCTACCAGAAAGAATTAAGTCACTTTGTAACCAGTTATTTAATATCAATTTACATTTAGTAATATTATTTTCAACATTCAGTTTGACACAACTACTTGCAGTTTTTGTGACCCAAGTGCCCAGGTATCGAACCTCTGGTTTGACCATATGTTGTATTAAGATGATTGAGAGCAATCATGAATGCTCATTAATCCATCCATCCATCCATCCATCCATTATCTACCACTTGACCCCAAGTCGAGTTGTGGGGGCAGCTTGAGCAAGGAGGTCCAGACATCTCTTCCCACAGCCACCTCCTCTTCTGGGGGGACCTCAAGGCGTTCCCAAGCCAACCAAGAGACATAGTCTCTCCTGAGTGTCCTGGGTCTTCCCCGGGGCCTCCTCCCAGTCGGACATGCCCAAAGCACCTCCAGAGGGAGTCACCCAGGGGGGCATCCTTACCAGATGCCCAAACCACCTCAACTGGCTCCTCTCGATGTGGAGGAGCAGCAGTTCCACTCTGAGTCTCTCCCGAATAACTGAACTTTTCATCCTATCTCTAAGGGAGAGTCCAGCTACCCTGCAGAGGAAACTCATTTCAACCTCCTGTATCTGTGATCTCATTCTTTCTGTCACTACCCAGAGTTTGTGGCCATAGGTGAGGGTTGGAACATATACCGACTGGTTAACAGAGAGCTTTGCCTTATAGCTCAGCTCCCTCTTCACCACAACGGACTGGTACAGAGTCCGCAATACTGTAGATGTTGCACCAATCCGTCTGTCAATCTTGTAGTGAACTTAACCTGATGTCAAAACTAAGCCTAAGGTCAAAACCCTTGACCTTAAGAACCTTGTGGGACAGAAACTGTCATTTCATTGATTTGAATCCAGAAATACAGGTTCACCCATCCTGAGACTTTCTTTCTTGAAAATTCAAGTGAAAGAACACTCTCTTTTCTATTATCATTCCTGTTTTACAAATGTTTGATAATCAAAGTGTCTTAGTTCAAACCATTTTAGATGTTGCAGTGAACTAATCAATTTTATTAACTGTGAAACAGTGTAATGATTTTTTGATCCTCATGCAAAGTTAGAATTCATGTTAAGGCCTGTTACAGAGTAATCATGTATTTTCTGATTTCTGTCTTTGAATGAGCAAGTGTGCGTTTTCCAAGGTCAGGAGTCGAAGCAGACATGTGTTGGAACAACTGTCTTGTTTACATCCTCTCATACGTCAACAGAGAAGTTGGCACCTGTTCTCCAAACTCGCCAAAAAAAAACTCTCTCTGTCTCTGAGAACAGTTTTAATCTGTTCAATAACATTCTTGCTGTTTTCTGACTTCTAGTAACCTCTTACATCACAAAACACACCCCTGTCTGGTTGATATTGACCAATCAGGAACGCTCAAATATACCGGTAATAGAGCCCTTTAAAATGCCGGTACTTCC